ACATGGAGCGAAATACTTTTTCTTCAATTTACAATCACCATTGAAAATAGTGTGAATCAAACTGCTATCATCGAATGAATTAATCACATATCGATTTTATAATCAATTATAATTTGCTTACGCAAAACATGTAAACAGAACCAATATCGATCCATTAGATAAAGATCAGAACAAGTGTATGCAATTATTTCATAAAATGATCGAAGATCTTTACTGTATGACACCTAAGAAATGATTTTCTAATTGATATTTTATTTTAATAAAAAGAAGAACCGTCATTACCTCTTGTTGTGGATCTGAGCGGACAAAGAGAAGTCCGACATTTTTCTTTCAATCCGCATGAACTCTGTTAAGATAGGCCGAACAAAACAAAAAGATATTGAAGAAAAACATAACACTGTAATATAATATTTCAATAAGGAATACAACATGTTTTTCACTACCATTGAAAATGGGAAATGGAACTGTAATATTCTTAGGAAATTAGTAATTATCTTCTATGAATTGATGTGTTTTTCTCTTCCAACTACTAATACTCATGAAAATCTATGACTGTTTTAAAAAATCCAATAAACATGGTTCGCGAATAGAAACAATCGGTTAGACAAGATTCGAACGAAAAAAGCTATTATCGATTTATCATTCTAATCAATAAAATCGAAATATTTTGCTATATAGTGATACGTGATTCCATAGATGAAATCAATCCAAATCCAAATACAAAATCTCTTTTTAATTGTTCGGTCGTACTGACAGTTTTTAATGGAAACAATCATGTTAATCCTTTTCTGATAGAAAGCCTACTGTGCCACGCGCAAACAGCTCGAGAAAAATGGAATGTATTGAATGGTATATACACTATTATAAGTTAGAGCATTCTGGAAGATACATATTCGATCAGTTTTTTCTAGGTATGTTGTTGATGCACACACAAACAATCCTTTTGTAAATATGACCCACAGAGTTTATAATTTTTCCATATTTTTATAGATTAAATGCTATCGGTACTAATTTTGTTTCATTTCGTAGTAATCATCTTCAGTCAACGCCTGATTTACTCGCATTTCGATAATCCAAACGACAAAGATCAATTTAAAATAGATTTTGAAAGTGGAAGCTACACCATAGAAGCAAGTTGGTATAAAGCGTACTCTAACGCTCAAGATGGAAGTGCAAAAGGAAGATCTGAACTCCGCAGAGATAATATAATATTGGGCAATGGAGCTAAACGTTACTTTAAAGCAATTTATTTCATTCCCAATAATCCTGGTAATCAAGCTGGTATCATTGGACAAGGTATAGAACAAGTACTCGGTGCTCCATGGAATCCAATCTTTTTTTGGATGGCATGGCCAGGAAATGGAGTTGAACTGTCTGTTTATGCGGAAACAGGTCCTAATCCAATTATTAAAAAAAATACAACTGAAGATCCAAGAGGCAGAATGCATACAATAGAAATGTGGGCTTATTTTACGACTAACAATGATGGATGGATGGATGTTCGTTATGATAACGGACCAGTGAAAACTATCTACACTGGAAAAACATTGCCAACTGGCAGATATCCAGGAGCTTTCAAAGTTGGTACTTATGCGGGCTATTATGGAAAATTTAACTCTGAAGTTTGGGTACATATGGTCGAAGTTATTGCTGATGGAGCTCCTCCGAATTCAATTAGTGGTCACAGTTTTTAAAAATTTCAAATACTTTGTATGATTATGATTATAATTTTCTAAATGACTGTAATTAATAAAACGAATTCTAATCCTGTATGAAGCAACGAAGAAGAGATAAGAAAAGGTAAATCTTAAAATAAATATTCTTTGGCAGAGAATTAACAGAGCCTCTACGCTGATTATGTTACGAATAATATGTTGTTTGCTCTAAACTATCTTAAATATTTATATTGTATAGACTTATTAAATTTTAGAAGTATTATAATGAAGATACTGATTATTTTGCATATACTTATTTTGACATGTCTCATAATAATAAAACCGATAATATTATAACATAAATCGTGAGATTCATTCCTGGTTTTTTATCGACTTTGCTAGATGATGGAGAAAAGAATCAAACTTCTCTGTCGTTAGGGAACATTGTGCATAGCTATAACAGCATTTGAGCATTAGACGAATGAATACACAACAGGAGATCACGTCTTACCAGTATTGAAATAAACACATTATTCATCATTTGAATATTTTTTTCACTTCTCAATATCGGGCGTGTATCGATTGCAATTAAAACAGTTTCAGTCGAAGTCTAAGTCGTTCTTAGTCATCCAATATCCGATCGATGTTAGAATATACCTTTTCTCCTACTTAACAGGTAAATGCATGAATGTTTTTTGGAGAGTGAACCTTTTTACAAAAACACTCACCCAAAGTTGATGCAAAATTTCTTATGACAATAATTTCTTTCATTGTTATATGGTATCAGGTCCGTAGACTGAAAACTTCATGATATCGGTCCATTTCCTTCAATTTAGCTTTCATTGTAGATTTCAGCCATAACAAAGACACAGATCGATTATAAGAAATAGAGCAATGTTCTACCTTGCTGAAAAATGTATTTTGGCTACAACTTTCATAGTAAAGGACTTTTAGACTAAAATAGATTAATAACCAATTAAAGAATAAATAAATGGTTTCTATTAGAATGGGATCAAACTCAATGTCAACATCTACATTCACATTGATTCTAATGTATCTGATTATGTTGATTTTTGAAATGTAAGTTATTTCAAATTTATATGTTACCGATGATGCTCTGTTGCTTGATGATGATAATGTGCCAATAGATAATTTAAAAATAAAAAACCTTAATCTTGAACTATTTATTTTGATCTTTTGCAGATATATTGTTTGTGCCTGTATCCATAATTAGAAAAGGTGTTACAATTGAAAAACAATACCAAAAGAAACGAAAATAAGTTATTGTTGAATAATGTATTAAGCTGCGTATTGGATTTTTGTCAATTTGTTCTTGATCTTATATATTCAGGATTTTCAAAAGTATTATTGATCGAAGATAAGATGAATATGTGTTTACTCAAAAAATGTCATAGTAAATAATAGGATAAAGTTTAAGCATCTTAGGTACGGTGATCTATATTTCGAAAATGTATCAATGCTGAAGAGTTCATTTTCGCACTTTTGATCGTATTTTTTTCGGTTGTCAACATGACCACTAAATGATGAGTGAATTCTCCTTATAAAAATAAAACAAATAAAGTGCATTTGAATTTGTTTATTAGATTGTATGAAAAAGATGCATTAAATTTATCTTGCTTGGATTATTTTATGTTCAGATTTGTCTCTGTATTGTAGTTCTGAAGTGAGTAGATCAGTCATTGCGAGAATAAACTGACGATAAGTTGAAATGAATAGGTGAGTAATACTAAGCGATGTAACTTGATACTTTTTCATTCAGATAACCATGGATTGAAAAGTATCGATATTAAATGGTGAAGAATATGGGAATCCTTCATATTCGGCAATAATGTGAATCTCGTCAATGAAAAATGCAAAACGTCCCTTCATTTATCTCTACCAGATTGAACAGCATCATTCTCACTATTAATATATAGTATCCGATGTATTTTTGTTGCGACTGTTCTTCTATTCACTGTGTAGAATGAGTAGAAGTCTTTTTTTAATTAAATTTTTATATTCAACTACATCTGATTTTAGAATTATGATCAAAACATGCTGAATGAATTAAGACCTTTTCATGACTTTATGGCGCCTACAATCATGTTCATCTTGAAAATTTTCTATTTTTTCTTATATCCAGTGCATCTTTTATGTCTTTTTATTACCCACTTAACTATTTGTCTTTTGATTAGTATTCAAAAAATACTATTCCTGATAAAAGTTATGAAGAAAACAATCAACAATAAATCTCAGTAGATTTTCTCGACCAATATGTTTACGACATATATTACTTTTGATTTTCATAGAAATATTCTTCCAAAAGCGTCCGTTCGATATCATCATTATATGTTTTAAAATATCGTTTGGTATTCTCTATACAGCTGTTTAATTATCAACGGATGCGCTTGAAAAAATATGAGAAGAAGCGTTTTCTTTTCAAGAATAAAACTTAAAGCCTCGCGATACTTAATTCAAATACCAACAAAATTGATTTAATTCTTTTATATAAATTCATCAACAATGCGTTCCAATTGTTGAAGATGTTCAACTAAATATGATGAAAATCTTGCTCAAAAACGCAGTGAAAGTGATTATAAACCCAATTTTGGTCAAATGTATGAATTTTATGTTTTATAGCTCATTAAATAGAGCAGCAGTCTACTGTCAAACACACTATAGTTTATTGATATTATAATGTGACTACTAAGTGACAGTGCCACATCTAAACTACAGTTGAAAAACTAATCCGAACCTTCTAGCATTTGTAATCGAGGGTGAATTCGGAAAACACGAAAATCTAAACTTTAACTCATAACATCTTTATCACGTTGTTGAATAATATCGCAAATATATATTTAATCATATTTAGTGTAATCTATTGAATGTATCTTGTATGAAAATACAAAGATTAAATGAAAACAAAGTTTCTTTTGCAGTTTTCTTGAAAATAATTCTTTTGATAATAGTAAAACTGTGAACGAAATCTTTCAATGTACTACAATGTAGAGAGTTGTACTTGTTTTTGTTCCATAAATACATCGATAGTCGTTCAGATGAGGAAAATGAATTTTCTATTTGGTCGTCAATGACAGAAAAAGCCTTTTACTCATCTGAAGTGTTTCAGAGCTCCGTTTCAAGTAGAAGTAATCCGAACTCTTCAGCTTGGTCCCTATACATCTTCTCAACAGTAAGATACAAATGCCTGAGATTTTTCTCACGCACATATTTCCATAGATCCAATAGTTATGCGAAATTTCATCAATGTCTCATGCATCCTGTCGAAGGTATATTTTGGAGAGGAAGGAAGAGGGCGGCTGCCCTTCAGAGATGGATTTAAATGAAGATAAATACTCGATTAGGTGGTAGAACGAGTTGTCTGCATAGAATGGTACATTACATATGATGAGAAATTTAATTAGTGGCAAGAAGCCGAGAAGAAGTACACAAGGTGAATGTTTAATATAAGTTATGCACATGTTCGGTAGACGTGAAGATAGATAGTAATTCTTTGGCTATTGTTCCTCAGCCACAAACATTTCCTAACCAAGAAAACTGACTAAGACTCAGTACATATCCAGGCTTGCAATCATTCACACACATAAGCTCTATAGACACTCACTTCTGTTTCCTGTCATATTTTTCATGGTACATATTTTACCTTATAGTGCACAGTAAAATATGATTTAATTACGGAAGATAATCAAACACTAAGTTGAGTGTCCTTGGCACTATATGCTAGCCACTGACTGCATTAACAACATTATAAAATCTTTTAAACGATCACTTTTGATTATTGCAATTCTTCTCTGAAGAAAATGCTCCTTTTACTTTACAATGTTGATAAGAAAAGTTAACATTATTACTTTTATTGTTTTTGTGCTGTGTTTGCCACAACTCATATTTCTATCTCTACCTTTTCTATCTCATTTTATTACCTTCACTATATCACCTCATTCATTTTAACATTATATATGCAACAATTTCTTTCTTTCAGAAGGTTAAAGCAGGGTGTGGGGTGTGGGTGTGGGTGTGGGTGTGTGGGTGTGGGTGTGGGTGTGGGTGTGTGGGTGTGGGTGTGGGTGTGGGTGTGTGGGTGTGGGTGTGGGTGTGGGTGACTGCCAAT